GTATTTTCAGCTCCTATCTGTACCAGTGTACATCCTCTGGTCTAGCCAGACCTGCAAGGCCGAATTCGAGTCATGGTAGTGGGAGTGGGGAGGAAACATTTAGGAACTAGATTATCTTCTCACAATAATGTCTTCCTGGCCCCTTCAAACCCAATTACAACAGAAAACACAAAGGCTCAAGTACATCCCTGGGCAAGGGCATAAAGTCAGGACAAAGGAATATCATTAGAGGGTAGGCATGCAGAAACTCAGCTGGGCCAGTTTTGTTCTTCAGGGGACACTCTTGGTCATTACAACTGGTGGGGATTTGGGGAATGTTACTATGGCATCCAGTGCCTAGAGGCCAGGGCTGCAGCTAAGCATTCTTACTGTGCACAGGGCAGTCCCCACAACAAAGTACCTAGTCCAAAATGTCAATTTTGCTAAGGTTGAAAAGCCCTTAGCTAGGCAAACAGACAAAAATGAAACACCCTGGTTTATGTTTCATCCTTAAAAGATACTTTAATGCAAATATTTCCCTTCCATTGACTAAACCTAAAATATCTGTGAATGGCTTGCTTGGGAAGTCTTGTTGACCTTCCAGATCAGTTCAGCCTAGTGACCCAGAAGGGATTGGAATAATCTCCCCTAGGTGGGGCTTGCCTTTCTGCCTTTGCTCTCTCTCGGACCCAGATGCACATCTCACAGTAGCTTCCTTATTTACAAAAGGAGGGAGTATGTCGAGAGTTCTAGGAGCAATCATATCAGCTCTGATGTTGGATGAGAGTAATAGTTCAGCAGAAAGCTGAAACTGACTTCCTTTCCCCCACCTCCCCCTTTCCCCTGTGCCCCCTCAAACCATCAGTCCCGTTGTTTTCTCCTCCAGATTGTTTATCCTGCCTATCTTATCTAGATAGACCTGCAGAGATAATAATATGCACAAAAAACAAGTCACAGCAAAACAAAGCAAAAAAAGAAAACAGGGACAAGGGAACAACAAGTGATCCAAAATCGATGGCCAGGAGGTATAGGAGGCCTGGTAGGGCTTGATCAAGGGCAATGTAGCCTAGAGGAATTAATGAAAGCTGAATGAAGGCCAAACATGATAGTGGGACAAGAGGAAAGGAAAGGGTGCCCAGCTATTAAAAGATATAGCATTTGGGGTGTTAAAAGCTTGAAGATAAACAAGCAGCCATCTAGCTGAGCAGCAACCAAGGCCACATTGAAGTAGCACACCAGCCTGGGTGATCACGAGGTGTCAAAGGGATCAGGTTTCAGGCATCAAAGAAGGAAAAATCAAATCGTTGTGTGCTCTCCTTCCCAATATGATTACTGAGGATAAATGGGGGCATAAGCAAATGTGGTGAAGAAAGCTGATGGTGCCTGGTTATCAAAAGATATACCGTCTGGGGTCTTAAAGGCTTCAAGGTAAACAAGTGGTGATCTAGCACAGAAGTATCAAAGCCCACATAGAAGAAGCACACCAGCCTGTGTGATCACGAGGTATCGAAGGGATCAGGTATCAGGCATCATCATTGTGAATAAGGGGGAGTGCTGACTGGGGACCCAAAGCACATCTGTTGGCAACTGGACATCCCCTTACAGAAGGGTCTCAGGGAGGAGACGAGGCAGTCAGGGTGCAGTGAAGCAACGATGAAACATACAACTTTCCTCTAGTTCTTAAATGCTTCCTACCCCCCAACTATCCTAATCCCAATTCCACCTTACAAATCTAGCTGGACCAGAACATGGTACATATAGGAACTGGAAACACAGGGAATACAGGACAGATGATCCCTTCAGGACCAATGGTGAGAGTGGCGATACCGGGAGAGTGGAGGGAAGGTGGGGTAGAAAGGGGGAACCGATTACAAGGCTCTACATATAACCTCCTCACTGGAAGTCAGACAACAGAAAAGTGGGTGAAGGGAAACATTGAACAGTGTAAGATATGACAAAATAATAATGACTTGTAAATTATCAAGGGTTCATGAGGGAAGGAGGAATGGGTAGGAAGGGGAAAAATGAGAAGCTGATGCCAGGGGCTGAAGTGGAAAACAGATGTTTTGAGAATGATGATGGCAGCAAATGTGCTTGACATAATGAATGTATGTATGAATTGTGATAAGCATTGTAGGATCCCCCAATAATAAAAAAAAAAGAAATAGAGGAAAAAACTAGGAGGCAAAGAACATTTATAGAAGTCTAAATACAGGAACGGACATATTTAAATATATTTATATATAATGATAGAGAAATCATCTATTTACATATATTTATATGTTAAGTATTGTGGGGGGAAGTCAGATGTGCAGGCATTCCCCCACTGAGGGCAATCAGTTGCCAGATTGCTGTCTCATCCCTCCACAGGGGTGGGCCTGCTCCCTGCCTCTGGGGACAATGGACAGGCTCCTGTAAGAAGAGTTCGCATCCTACTGATAATGGTCTCTATCAGTTGGACCAGGGACAGGCCAAACCGGCTGTCCCTCTTCCTACTGC